TTTACAAGACAGTGGTGAGACCAGCTCTGTTGTATGATCTGGAGACAGAACTGGAAGTAGCAGAAATGAAGATGTTGAGGTTCTCCTTAGGAGAGACAAGGATGGAGAAGATCAGGAATGAGATCATCAGAGGTACAGCACAGGTTGAACAACTGGGAGATAAAGTTCGAGGACACACTGAGACGGTTTGGACATGTCCAGAGGAGGGACAGTGGTTTGGACATGTCCAGAGGAGGGACAGTGGGTACATTGGTAGAAGGATGTTAGAAATGCAGCTGCCAGGAAAAAGACAAAGAGGAGACATATGGATGCAGTTAGAGAGGACATGGAGGGAGTTGGAGTGAGATGGAGGACGACTCCCTGAAGAGGGAAAACCAGAAAGATTCTGTATTTTTGGACTTCTGGGCTACCGTACTTCAGCAGCTGTCAGTGGCTTTAAGATTCACCTTTTTGTTCGTTTGTCTCTCAGATGTGAAAACGCAGCGGGACGTCTTATTGTGCGTTTTAGTTTGTGACCTTTAACCCGAACATAAAAACAGAAGCGGCTCAACGGAGCCTGGACATGTTTGGACCCAACATCACGGCGCTCATCGGCTTCACGAGGAAACCCGAGCTGCGGCGCTGCAGCCGAACGGTGCATCACGTTTTCTCCTGTCAAGCTCTCCAGTTTGTGTCTGAGGAAGACGTCAGCAGGCAGACCTGACAGGCTCGGCGTCTGACGGTGAAACCCCCGGTGTTTAATTGAAGTCCCGTCTGATCCCGGAGCCGAGGAACGACAGAAAGCAGCCGAGCCAGGAGGAGCGCGTAAACAGGAACAGCCTTTTATTGTTTCTCCTCAGCTTGATATGTACAGGACAGGTGGCTGCATCTCCACACATCATGTAAAAACAATTGCACATTAGCTTTTATTAACCTCCATTTCATTTTTTAAATTTTTTTTATATTTTAACACATCATAAAACAGCAAACAGGATACAAATACACTGAAAACTGCTCACTAGTGTCGGCTCCTAATAAACGAAGAGTACCCAGAAAACGACACATTTCTGAAGATTATTTTGAAAACAGAAGTTTTGTGCTGCAGTGTCACTGATAAAAGAATCACATCCAGTCCCTCGTTGTGTCAAACATTCTGACATTCGCTCAGGCACTTCTTGATATCGAACACAATTCATACATTTCATAAAAAATATATTTACTTTCTCCCACAGCTTCCATCGGCTTCATCAAAACACGGGGTTAAAGAACGCGACTCCGACGGGCTGGCACACAGAGAAAGTCCGGAAAACTCTGCAAATATGCTGAAATGTCCTCAACTGAATTAATGCTGCTGATTAAAGTTGTCCTGACTCCGTGTCCACTTCTGTGCATTTTAAGATTTTAAGGCTTGTTTTTAAAGTCTTAAAACGCGTCATATTTATGTGCTCTTCTTAAAACCTACACTCCAGTTAGAGCTGATTGTTCCTGTTGTTGTGTTGCACTTTATTCTCAACTTTCCCGAGTGACTCAAGATGTCTTTTCTTGTTCTTATCATTTTCATTTGACTAGACTGTTAAGAATCTTGTTCAACTCTGTTGATTTATGAGCTATAGAAATAAATTATCGTTTTCTTCTTTATTAATCGTTACGTACCGTATTTTTCAGCCTATAAGTCGCAGTTTTTTTGCATAATTTGCACGCCCTACGACTTATACGCCGAAGCGACATATTTATAGATTTTTTCTTCATATTTATAAACCAATTTTCAGCTGAGATATGACCGTTTTCATTCGTTCTGACTGAAAATATTGAGCACTACCATTTTTAGCCGCTAGCCCTTCGTCCAGCTGGAGCAACCGTCAAATCAGCTTCATTTCGCTGCGCCGCCCCGTCAAAATGCAGCCGATTTGACCATTGAAGTGCATTTATTAAGTAAAAGTTCAACTGAGACACACCTTTACTATAACGTCGAGCAAACAAATAATTGTTTTAGGTGCTTATCTTGTTAAATTTTTGAAGAAATGCACAGCGACTCCGCCCTCTGCGCGTTCATGTTTCTGCGCATCGGCTTTTGAAATGCAGCTGATTTGAGCGTCAAAGTGCATTTATTAAGGAAAAGTTAGACTGAGACACACCTTTACCATAACGTCGAGCAAACAAATAATTGTTTTTTTAAGTGTTAATCTTGTTAAAGTCCTCCCGTGCACGCCCACGCAGCCAATCGATTTTTGGCACAACACCGGCCCACATTTCCGGGTGGTCGGCGGTGACGCATAATAGATGCGACTTATACGGTGAAGCAACTTATTTATGGATATTTCCATTTTATTATACATATTTGGACTGATACAACTTATAGGGCGGTGTGACGGGTACGGTTGAAAATACGGTATGTGAAGCTACAAAACCACATTTCTCCAGGGTTTTTTCACCCCGACTGGAGGAAACGCATCTTACAGTGTGCGTTTCCTTCTGTGTCGATCTTTTAGCAAAATATCTCAAAAGTTATGGGACAAATTTGAATGAAACTCTAATCATTGGATGAAGAACTACACCGATTAACTTCTCGAGTTCGCTAACTAACAGCTACCTGACCTTCAAAACACCAAAAATGGCTACAATAGCTAAATGTTTGGGTGGTGCTAGCTGAGTCTGAGTGCGTCATCTAGAATAATGTTATAGTCAAGAACTGAACCGTCTCCAGTTCAGTCATCGTCCGGATGCTCTCAGTCAGTCTGGGGCATGAAAGGAAGTGGGTGAAATGCATTTCTTCACGGAGTCCTCTGTTAATTTACTGTTTCGTTCCCCTTTTTTCCTCTGCGTCTTCAAACTTGTTTGGCGTCACATATAATCATGCCAAACGGTGCGCTCAGCTACACAGGACTGGTTGCCACCTCCTGCATCAATCAAAGCGTTGGATTGGTGATTAGTTTGTCCACTTGTGGTAGAAAAAGTTGCCAATCAGCGCCTGCACTTTGATTGGAATCATAACAATAGAAGCCAAACTGTCACGTCTAGTTGCTGCAAACTGTGCATGTCCTTATTTCTGTTTGGGTTTTTAAATGTATGCTTTCTTCTAATGCACGAGAGATCAATGCAACACCATTTGTGCTCCTCACAGCATTAAGATAACCCGACAGCCTGCCTGAGGGCCGGACACATCCACATTTAAAACACCGGCTAAATTAACTCATTTAAATGCACTCGGCACAATGAAGTGATTTGCTGAGAAGGCCGAAGTAAATCTGTGTAAACGGTTGTGCAGCAACAACAAACCGTCATTTAAATGTGCAAAAAGGGACGAAGCTGCAGCGGCGGCAAGATTCAGCTGCTTTGACGCAGAGTTCTGATCCGAGCCCGGTGGGGTGTTCAAGTTTCACAGGAGCGAGCTCGTAGGTGAGTTTACAAAGAAGAATATTAAAGTTTAATTTTATACCTTTTATTGTTGTTGGTAAAACTCAATTTATAATCTGAGCAAGAAGCTTCTAAACACAAAACTGGCTGTAACTCCGTGAGTTTCACAGAAATGGACTTAAAATTTGGCGTGTTTGTAGCCGAGACTGGTTAATTAAAAAAATATTTCTGTAAATACTTTGAATAAATGTGGTTTTGTGACAACCAGCTCCACTGATGCGTCTAAAATTCACCTTTGGCTCAGTATTTTCTGCTAAAACCTTTTTTTTTTTGACGCTGTAATCGTTACAGTAACTGCAGGCAAAGTTAAAGCCGACACAAAGAGCTCGCCAGCAACAACAAATAGAGTAGAAACAACGTCGTCGTAATTCAAAAGCAACTTTAAGACACTTTTCTCTGTTTTGTGTAATTCGAAAGCTGCGGGAGCCACAAATTTAATTGCATTAACCTCCACTGTAGCAAAACAAAACTCAAAACTCCACATCTAAAATCTCGGCACAACTATCTGCCGAGTATCGAAGGAAAGACAAAAGAATTTCGCCTTCTTCGTTGTTTTCAACCCACTTTCCAAAACCCGACTGTGCTCTGTTCGTTTATTGACTGCTGGTTTTTAAAAGCAAGATGGCTCCCCTGCCTGCTCCCTCTATTTAAATCACCGTGGAGAAGAGTGTCTGCTAAACGCTTTAAAAGGGGAAAAATACAAAAAGCAATTATGGCAATTTGGAGCAATTAACTCCTGAGGACATTTTCTTTCCTTTTGTTAAAAAACAGCATAAAAGGCTCCAGCTAATGTCACCCCGGGAGTCACATCGTCTCTCCACCCATCTTCACTCTGCCTCTTCTTCTGCTTTTATTCGGCTCTTCATGTCAGAAGCTGGGCCCCGTGTCGGTGCCTCTGGTGGCAGCGTTCTTTGGCTCTGGCAGGCAGCAGGTGGCTCCTGATGAAAAATTCAGTGCAGAGCCCGACTCGGGAGACGAGGAGGAGGAGGAGGAGGGAGGTGGTAGTGAGTAGCAAGAAGGAGCGAGTGAAAGAGGAGGGGTGAGATGAGAGAAAAGTGGGTGAGGTAGAAGAAAAAGAAGGAGCTCCGTACGAAGCCGTGCAGAGGGGCCAGGCAGAGGATCGGAGACGTCTACCCTCTGCCCGAGTCTCCTCCAAGAAGATAACTCACAACATGAATCATTTATGAAGGGGGCTGGGTCTTTTATTAATAACACACGCACTGTGGCCCCCCCCCCCCCCCCCCCCACTCCAACACTTTGCCTTGTTTTCTCTGCTCCCTAAAGAAGACTGCGGGAGCTCCACCACCGAGGAGAGAAAGCAGATTACAGGGAAACGCTTGGAAGGAGCTGATCGTTAGCGAAAAGGGACGTTCTGCGACAGGTGGGACGAGTCATCCAGACTCGATAGTGAAACGAGTCTCTTGTCACAAGCCCACACACAGAAACTTGCGCCTCCCCGTGGGCTCGGAGGAGCGCCCACTCACTCGCCTGTTTACCCGTTTGATTGTCGGTCCTCGAAGGCGCCAGAACTCTGAATCAGAGTCGTGGACGGCGCTGAAGGAGCATTGTGTTCATGAATGCAGAGAAGGCACTGAGCGTTTCGTGGTTGTAGGAGGGTGAGTGACTGACAGCCGGTGTAGGTCATCAGCACAGTGGGGGGTGAACATGAACACTCACGTTCTGGGCACAGCTGTTTACCGCTAAGCTCTAAGAGCTCTAACTGTCCTTTGTCAAGATTTGTAGCGTTGACTTTTAGTTGTTTGATCAAGGTAACCCCTCACTTCAGCTCTGAAACTACACGTTCATCCTTCAGTCAAGAAATTGTCCTCAAGAATAAAAAAGTCTTCCTTTTTCTGACCCCAGTCTGTTCAGCCTTGCTAGCTGTGAAGGCGAGGGCGGGACATCATGGCGGTACGGACCCTTTGGGGATGCTGGGTCTTTCAGGTGTGTCGTGTACCCCTCATAGCTGTTGTTACCACCGCTCTCATGCATCAACTTTCCTTTGGCTTCCTGCTCTCTGCGCCTCTGCTCCTGCCTCAGGAGCTCCTGGGCCTCCAGGAGAACTCTGGCGTTGACGCCTCCACCGCCCGGGTAGCCATTTCTGGAGCCCTGGTAGCTGGAGTACCTGGGGTTGTCCTTGGCAGTCTGGAATCCTTCTCCTGGTGGGTACACCTTATCCCAGGAATCCTGAGAGACCGTGCTTGGGTTCTTCCTGGGTTGTCTGATGTAGAAGAAAAAAACCAAAGAGAAAAGTTGGTGAGTTCAAGGTGCAACCAGTCAAACCTGGTTTTATGTATAGTCCAACTTTGCAAGGTTTCTAAGCTTCACAAAAGATAATGACTTGTGACCATGTAAAGGTTTTAAAGCACCCTTAATTTTATTTATTTATATGTTCCTTCCAATCAATTCATCATGATCAGACATTCTCTCAGCTTTCTAAAGGTCTTTCAAAGCTTCCAGGAGGACTTTAGGTGCCTTTTCTCCTATCTTCTGTCCAGTCATTGAATACAACAGCAGCACTTATACAACTTTATCTTACACTATTTAGGATAAATTTTACCAATGGATATTTAAAAGCTTCTCCACAGAATTCCACTTTAACAGGTTGAGTAGCACCGTGGTCTTGGGGACTATGGTGTCCAGGGCATTAATCCCTGGTAGGGTCTCCCATGGAAAACTAGCCTCAAGGAAAGGGTGAAACAAAGAGCGAATCAAAAACCTTGATGATACAGAACACAAAACTTGTCAGGATAACTTGCCCAGAAAAGCATCCCCCTGGAGCCAGGTTTGGTAAAGCAGACACCTGGTGGCCAAGCCTAGACGTCCAAGGTTTGACCAGGCCAAGCCAGAAAGAGTGGCAGGCTTCCTCATTCGGTGAACCACTGTCAAGGTTTAGTCCCTAGCTGTGCCAAATCCTTGCAGCAAAGATCCAGCAGGCCCAACTCACTGGGAGAAGATCCTGGAGACCCAAACCTTGGTGAAGGTAGAGAGAACTGGTTGGTCAATATTATGTATTCCCTCTGGCCTGGGAACATATTGGGATTCCTCAGGAGGAGCTGGTCAGTGTCATTGGGTAAAGGGATGTCTGGGTTTTTCATCTAGACTATGGATGCACGATATAAGATGTTTGGCCAATATCCGATATGTTAAAACTTATTTAGCCGATATCCAATACAGACATTTTTAATATATTTTCCTTTGTCAGAACATAGCACTCTTGTTTAGATTTATTTTCTACATTGCTACAAAAATTGTGCAACAGCTGTAAGAGCTGGTGACATATATCCAGTAACAGCCATATGCACATCACTTTAACTTACATTAAATGAAAAGTGTTAAATGTTATTTATTAGCATTAATCACCTGTGATGCTGTCTCACTTGTGGAGGCTTGTTCCAGGTTCAGCTGCAGGATCCTCTGCACTCTTGTGCATGAAGGACAACCTTTTTAAGTTCAAAGTTTTTGTCTAGCCATTGTGCCGTAAGACTAATCAAGCTAACGGGGCTAACACTTGACGTCCAAATGTCTGTGGTAAAACTCACCCAAGTCGTGCTATCGGCTGTTATTTTCTCAACGACGTCAGAAATGACGGCTTGTAACTCTGGTAAGGCTACGTCGGAAAAATATCTCTGACTGGGGACGATGTAGCGAGGCTCAACGTAGAACAAAAATCTTCTGAATTTAACATCCTCAACAACAAAAAAAACTTCCACACCGCCGACATTTTGACTTCTTCCTCTCCGCCGTGATCAGATCAGGTAGGCGCGCGTGACGTCATCGCGTTGTGCTGCCGCTGCAGGCATCCTTGTCACTGGGTTGTCATACAAAAACAGCGCCTTTTATATCGGTGAGTTATTTTGATGGAATGTTCGATATTTAACTTTAACGCTAATATCGGCCGATACCATGCCGATAATATCGTGCATCCCTGGACTTATTGTTCCTGCAACCTGACCAGCGGTAAGTTGTTGAAGAAGGATGGAAGGATATCCATCCTTCTTCAACGGCATCATCTTTAAAGTAAAAAAACAAAAGAATCTTATATGTTTGGTTAACTGAATAGTTGTTCAAAGACAAACTGGTGTTTAGATTTTTTATACTGAACAAATGTTTTACCGTCTGTAACTTGGTGGGTGAAACATCACATTCAATAAAAAATGAGACACGTTAGAAACCTCTCAAACTGCCTCTGGGCAACAACCAGCCCAGCAACAACATTCACGGATACCTAACCACGTCAAAGTCCTCTTTCAGCCCATTAGGCCCATTTAGAGACTGACTGAAACAACCATTGGATCTGACACACTGTAATAGCAGACCTTTTTGCAGTTAGAAATATGAGGTGACCGTCTTGTCCTCGGTGGAAACGGCTGTGCCGTCATGTGACACCTGACATCGGTGTCTGAAAGGCACTGTTGGGTGTCATGAATTTGCCCTTTACTAGAAAAGACGGGGGAGAAAAACAATCCAGATGCGTGACATCACCCATCATCTCCGCTCGGCTAACCTTGGTGTGGCAGCTCTACTTTTCACTGTGTGTGCGTTTAAGCCTGCGAGATAAGCACAAGCATGCACCCCTCCCAGCAGCCCCACCCGTTTATCGGCAAAAATGAGGAAAGGGACATAAAAGAAGAAAGACGCCGAAAAACATCATTGAGCTTTTGATTCCAAGCCATGCATAATTAGCGCCTTTATCAGCCAGCTGTGAAGAAATCTTATTATTCTTGCGTTTGAATTTCCAGCAGGAAAAAAATAATAATGAGAACAGAGAAGAGCTTTGTTTTTATTCAACAGGGGCAGAATGCAATTGGGAATGGATACACTCCTCGATCGGTTAGATAGGAGAATATAGCTCCGGTTTATTCTTGCACACGCTTGACTGATTCTAATTTTCAGTCGGGTGTCCCCAACACGTGACTTGATTTCATATGTTGACAAAAAGGCCAGGCAGGTCTGCCTCCCCGGTGAGAAAAGCAAACCTGACGGCTGTTTTTGTCTGATGCTGCGCTGAGGGGGAGCCTTTTTACATGCGTGGTAAATACAGGAGGATGTGCACTGCTCTGTATGCAGTTCATGCAGAGTGATCCGTGACAGACGATAGGAGAGAAAGAGGAAAAGGTGAGGGAGTGGAACGGAGAGGAAAAGGGGGGCAGATTGACATTTGACACATATGTATTCAGGCACTCGCACACCAGCAGGACCGAATGCCACTGCAGCTGTTGAAGGCAGCCTTTAGTCTCCTATAATGGCATTACTTTGGCTCGGAGATCAATGGAGCTTGTCGATGATGAATACGAGGGCCCTTCATTTCTCGTCATTGTTTTGGATTCCAGTGGTTTATTTTCACTCAAAGATCTTTGTTTGGGAAAAGGGTCTCACCCAGCAGGGATGTGACCTTTATCCACAATGAAAGCTGTTCTGTAAGGAACACTACTGCCATTAATCACAACTCTAATAACAACTCGGAGCTGCGGTGAAATTTCACAACCACCAGCAGAAGAATCCTATCAAGAACAAGATCTCCTAAATGCCACGTTTACTCCATCTCAGCCTCGGACTTCACATTACGGCATGCGCAGAGTCAAACGACGAATTGCGTTTTCAAACTAGGATTTATCTAAACATGTAAGGATTTAGAGGAGGAGTGAAGGGATGCGGTCACGGGATGTTGCCTCCGACAGATGGAGAGCAACGCCACTTCATTCATCTTTCACCGAAATTGTTTGAAAGATTCATCACGGACAGGATTTATGGTGATAACACGGTGACGCAACAGACTATACATTGTGTGTGTGTATGGAAGAGCACGATGACATGCACCTGGCTGCATCTGCTTTGTAGAGTTTGAAAATGTAACTGGACAAACTGATCGAGAAACAGCATTAAAGAGGGAATTGTTCCCCTCGAGTCTGCGGAGAAGGCAGCAGCTGACGTGGTGATCCGTAGGAGGAACGAGCGTTACGTCACCGGTACGTTGCAGGGCCATCAGGGCAGATGTAGAAGGTGAAATCCAAAGTGGTCCCGCTGGAATCGGACCCATTAGGGCTGCGACTCGCAGCAAAAACACCCAGAAATGATAAAACATCCACATTTCCTGGAACATTTCATGCAGATCAAAGGGAATCACATTAAGGGAAAGGAAAACAATCATGTCAGATTCGTAACATGATCGGTTCATTCTAACGCTCGATGTGTGTGTGTGTGTGTGTGTGTGCGTGTTAGTAATCTGAAACTGAGAGCGAGGACCGTTTTCTTACTCGGATGGTATTTACAGAGAATCATTAGTGTCTGAAGGCTGTCGACATACGTCGACACCGCTAAAGACACAAATGTCAGACTGTCACAACCCGCTGCAGACGTCTCATATCAAACAGGAAGTAAAAACAATCCCATGATGCTTCCTGTCTGTCACTCTTACCGTGGCAGGGAGCTGTACTGCCGCTGTGCCTGGGCGAACGAGTCTCTCTCCTCCTGCCTCTGTCGCTGCATCTGCACCTCCACGGACACGGAGTGACGCCCCGGCTGGCTGTAGCCGCCCGGACCGTTGCTGTTCGACTGGAAACGAGAAGACGGCAGCTTGATTAGCTGCTGGTCTGAGTGGGACTTCACCCAGAGGAAAGAATCCTGTTTGAAATGTATTAAGAACGATCAGATGATGATGCTCACAAGAAATAAACATTAAGCTGTAAAGTTTAGTATGTATCGTGACATTTTATAGATTTCAATTCTTTGCGTCACAGAAATAAATAAAAACGAGCTGTTCGAAGCTGAGGGATTTGAAGAGCGAGTATTTTGTAGTTTGAGTGTTTTTCTGGACTGGAATTGAACAGAGCATGCAAGTAAAACCTAAATGTTGTGGTGAAAGATATTCAAGTGGGCAGGAGTTAAGGGTCCTCCTGCATACTCCATCTGAAGCGGCGACATCGGCTCTCATGGACGTAACCGCGTGACAAAAATCTCGTCATGTTGTTCTCAGAGCAGCTTCGCCTCTCCACGACACAAGGCCAGAGACGAACTTTGTCTCACAGGTGCTCGTGCCAAGTATTGTGCGATTGGTCAGAAGTTTGTGGGCGTGTTCATCCATTTGAAAATGCGCTCGGACATTCATCTGAGTGACGCCACGAGCGCCGCAGCACGGCCGCACTGATGGGAGCTCCGCTTCGACTCCATCTTTTTTTGTTCCCGTTGTTCTTGTTTTAACCTTTTTTTGCACCTACACTGCACACACACGCTACGAGTATTACGCAACACACTTGTGGAGTTTTGTGTGTCGCTGCCTTGCCATCACGCCATCCTGCCATCGTGGTTCAGTTCCCAGACCCCCTCCAGCCTCTGGTTCAGACTCCGGCCTGTCATGGCGGCTGTCTCCATGATCCACCATCTACCTGCACGGACCAAACTCTACGGACCTGTTCGGTTCAGCGGGGGAAACCTTGGATGTTCTCTGTGCGCTGGACCTTGTTCTTGGAGGGCAGCTGCTGTTGTTATTATCATCAAGCTGCAAGCGGGGCCTGCTAACGCTGCTAACACGATCCTCCATATGCTTGCACGGACCGAACTCTATGAATCCGTTCAGTTCCGAAGGGAAACCTTCGATGTTCTCCGTCTTCTGGACCCGGTTCTGGACTGCGGTCTGTGAGGGCAGCTGCTGCGGTCGTTATTACCATCAAGCTGCTGACCAGACCTGCTAAGCTGCTAACAGAACAGAATGATGTTGAAAGAACCTCACTGCTAACTGAATCACACTGTAGATGTTTGTTTTTTCATTTGTTGCTTTGTTTTTAGTATTTTAGTAGTATTTTTAGTATGCTTATTAGTATTTTAGTAGTTTTTTTTTAGTATTTTTGCTGCATGCTTTGGTATTTCTTATTGTTAAGTAAGTAAATTGTATTTATATAGCACCTTTTAGAGGTCAGAAACCACAAAGAGCTTTACAGATACAAGACATAAAAACACAAGATAAAAGATAAAAACACAAAAGATAAAAGATAAAGCAACTTGTGTACGACATAACACAAAATAAAACGAATTAAAGACATCCAAGGTTTCCCCACGGAACCGAACAGGTCCGTACTGCGTGTGCAGGCAGATGGAGGATCTCGTTAGCGGCATTAGCTGGTCTTGTTGGTTTGTTGGCGAGTCGAGACGTTTCTTCTCGTCCTCAGCATTTCGTTGCACTGACCTTGTGTTGATTTAGCACAAGACAAATAAACCTGAACCTGATCTGCACGACCCTCCAAACACTAAATTAGTCGAACGGCTCAAAGCTCCTGGATGGAGATCGTGCAGACGTGTACGGAGGAGTCTGCCTGCTGAAAAGTGTGGAGCTTTCTTCACGATAGACTTGTGGCCAAACGGGAGGGGTTTCCCAGCAGCTGCGTGTCTGAGTCTCATGGACTATGAAAGGTGTGCGCAAAAACGTACGTCTCGCAACCACGCGACCGAGGGTCGGCGGTTCGACTTCGGATGGAGTATGCTGGGCCCGCTACACTGCGTACAAGAACAGAGGCAGAGTTTCTTTGAGCTTGTCCAAGGCGGCGCAGAGAGATGGATTCTGGAGAGTGAAGGGAGAAATGTGTCCACTACCAGGTGCAATAGTGGAGCCAGGGGGTGGCCAATGGTGGCTTTGGCCCCTATAGATTAGTCTCGGCCACCCCAACTATCTAAGGAAACTTTATCTTTAATATAAAAACCAGAAAAAATAGTTTCCTCAAATGATGGTGACCCGTTTACATATATAAGTGGTGGCGGCCATCTTGGATTTTGACGTGGCAACAGATTTTTTGATAGTGATGTTTCTTACACCTCGATGAAGCCACACTAAAATGGAAGTCTGCATGCTGCTTATTTTTATTAAAGTCATCCAGTACACAAGACGGACGAGCTTATATGAGGACAGCCATTTTGGATTTTGACATGACAACCCAATTATTGATAACGTCCTTTCTTACACGTAGACACGCACCAGACTGGAGTCAGTTCCTCACTTCAGGTTATCAAGGTCACAACACAGATGGAGACTAGCTCCAATTCACCTTCTTCGTGATGGAGGATAAAAAAATGTTTTGGGGTAGTTTCATAGATTTATTGACATTTATAATACTTGTATAAAATATAAACTGATCAGGCAGAGTAATTAAACCGCCGTTTCTAACAAGACGATTTGTCCCATCATGCCTCAAACACACAAACAGCTACAGGAACATGAATAGGACCAGAAGCATTGATTTAACTTACGAAATTACCAGATCCCAATGACATCAACAGTCATCTAGATTAAGACATTGATAGCAAGAGTTTGGTCTTTTAAAAGTTCAAAAGCCTTAAATTCAATTCCATAACGCATTTGTAGTGCATAAAAACTTTAAACCAACCGACAACCTTGACAAGGGAGCTGCTGATAACAACAAACGTAGCAAATTTTATGATTTTAAAAAGAACATTCGTGAAACAACTCATAAAAACTGATACTTCTCCTTGTTGTAAATTTACTTTTTCTTAAGAGCGGTCTTAGATTTTCTTATCAGAACTGAAGGATTAAAGGCGGTATAATAGTTTGTAAACATGGTGTCCAAGTTCAAATTCAAGGCAGAACCTTTACCGTCTTTACCCGACACTAAACACTTCAGCAGACGCCCACGGCCACATTTCAACTCTTCACTTAGCAGAAACTTACCAGCCGTTAGTCGGTCGGACACCCCCAGTACTCGTCTCCTCGGGTCAAAATGAAGATGAGACACAGACAGGCAGACAGACAGATGGAGGCGGGGGGAGTGAGAGGAAGACCATGCTGGAGACAGCATGCTGATGGTGGTGAGATGGTTGTTAGTCGGTGTTAATGACAGAGACAACATTTGAACAGAATAATCTCATACAGATTAACAGCTGTTACATTAGACAGGTCAGCAATATGAGTTTTTTAAATACCTACTGTAATTTCCGGACTATAAGCCGCTACTTTTTTTTTTTTTTTTTTACAGTCTTTGAACACTGTGGCTTAGACAATGCTGCAGAAAATTTATGTTTATTTTTTATTTTTGACGGGCTAACGAGCTTCATGCCGCCAAAACATTTAAACTCGGCACACAGGGTCGCTCACATAAAACTTTGTTACCCCCTCGCCCCGTTGGGCACAACGACAGATTTGCAGGCGCTCAAAATAAATGTGAACGGTGCGTTAACGTGGCACTCCAAGCGTGTTGGGAGGCTTGATGACTAGCGGCGGGAAATGGTTTACCAAAACAGGCTGCATGCGAACAACAACTTTTGCTCAAGTCTGCCAGTGGATCCCGACAGAGGAGCAGTGTAAAAAATATTTGATCACCAGCGGGTTTAGAAAGGCTGGGCGTGATGAAGAGGACAGCACAAGCACAGTGCGCAGGAGGAAGGTGAAGATCAATGGCTTCCTGATAGGCTACTGTAATTAAAAAAAACAATTTACCAGCCGTGTTACAGGTACTGTTCAGAAAAAAACATTTATTGTATGTATCTGTGTATGTTAACAGTATGTATTTAATTAAAGTTAAACAAATATTCCTGTGTAAATATCTCAACATGCAACGTGGAGACCTGCAGCTTGTATACAAAGGTTGTCTATATTTGTACACTTAAATTTAGTGGGCGTGGCTTATATTCAGGTGCACTGTATAGTCCGGAAATTACGGTATGCTTAAGTTTTATGATTATTTTAAGAACTGAGACATCTATACTCAAATGCTCACAAAATTGTAGTAAAAACTTGCCTTTAATTGATGCATGTGTTTACCTTTATGCTGTGCATTTAAAACACCGCGCTACGCAACATGACCGGTTTAACCAACTGGATGTAAAAAACAAGAGAGAAACTGTTTATTTTGTGAACTAACAAAAACTGGTGCATGTGGATTTAAAGACTGGAAATGTTTGGAAAACCTGGCTTTCTGAAAAACACAAAATATTTTAGTGATCAGTTAAAACTGAACCTCACCTGATTTAAATGAACAGGTGACCTTTAGGTTTTTGCAGAACTTTCACTCATTTAATAATTGAACAACATGATTGGCCCTCAAGGACCAGGAGAGGACACCAGGATCCCTCAACAACCTCTTGACCACTGATGCAAAATCCCCGGGAGTAATGGTTAAAATATTCCACCAGAAAATGGGACGGCCCTGTAAAAATCCACATCACATCTTTATGTAAACAGACAATATGAATATAAACAGCTGCGTAAAACTACTTATTCAACTTGCAACTGACCTCTACAAACAAGGTTATTATTAAAACTTCACAAACATAATATAGATGAATACACCAAATTATACATTGTAATGATTGTTGTGACAATTGTGTGATTAAAAAAAAAATTATTTTGTTGATGCATATTTACAAGTTTTCAACTGGAAAGTGATTTAAAAGTTTTTATTTGAAGATATCCCTAATCTTTTGCAATCGGGACAAACCCATGAGGAAAATGTAGGGGCAGGTGGTACAAGTGAGGAAGAAACGAGATTTGGACCATTTCAGACTGGATTGCTCTACAAAGTCAAGATACCCACGAGCTAAATCTGAACCCA